AGCTTGCCAACCAAGCAAGTTCTGAAACTGAAATTTTGCTGACGTGTTCTCCAGCCAAGTGCCACCCCAACCGCGGTGTCAACCCTCACGCACGTCTGGGTCTCGCGTACAAGCACGTGAAGGTTTTGGCGGGAAAATTGCTGACTTGGTAACAAGAAAAGCTAGGAAGCTGAAACCTTAGTGTAATGTTCCCTACCCCGTGTGAGACAAAAAGATTTCAAATTCAGCTTCCCAGGATTGCCGGGAGTTTACGTACGGGCACGTGAAAATTATGACGGGAAAATTCATAACTCAGGAGTGGGAAAAGCTAGAGAGTTGGAACTTTGGGAAAATGTTCCCTACTCACGACCAAAAGTTTTCAAACTCAGCTCCTCAGAACCGCCCGGTGCTCACATACGGACACCTGAAAATCTTGGCGGAAAAAGTGCTAACTCGGGTAAAAGAAAAGCTAGAAAGCTGGAATTTTAGGTAAATGTTCCCTGCCCATGCATGACTTAAAGGTTTCAAATTCAGTTGCCTAGGGCTGTCCGGGACTCACGTACGGGCAGGTGGAAATTTTGGCGGGAAAATCATCAACTCCGAAACAAGAAAATTCAGAACGCTGAAACCTTAGGGGAATGTCTCTTACTCATGTACGACCAAAATTAGCTGTTTAAAAGCGCCCGGGACCCACGTACGGGCTTGTGGAAATTTCGGCAGGAAAACCACTAGCTCGAAAATGAGAAAATCCAGAAAGCTGAGAGGGGAGTGTTCCCTTTTCATGTACGACCAAATTAGTTGTTTATCAGACCCCGGGGCTCACGTACGGGCACGTGGAGATTTTGGCGGGAAAGTCACCAACTCGGAATCCAGGAAGCTGAAACTTCAAATGTTCCTTACTGTCCCTTCCTTGTGTAAGACCAAAAAATTTCAGATTCAGCTCCTTAGAAGCGTCCAATACTCACGTACGGACACGTGAAAATTTTGATGGGAAAAACTGCTAACTCGAGAATAAGAAAAGCTGGAAGACTTAAATTTTAAGGGAATGTTCCCTACTTATGGTGACTAAAAGATATCAAATTTAACTCTTCTGGTGCGGCCTTTTTTGCGGACCAACAACTTTCCATTTGTCAGGTCACTGAAGTCGACATTTACAACTGATACACCACACAGTTGCACAATTAACTTCCCGAACTTCAAGGGCCAGTATGTCACAGCGCTAGCTACTGTGATTCCTTGCGATCTTGCTACGGCATGAAGAGTGCAAAAACGCATGACCGCACCAGCCCGCCTGGTGCGTTCCAGCCTGGGTTTTCGGGTTTAGTCGGAGTAATAAGACAACCAGAGCAGATTACAGGTGACTTTATTATCCTGAGCGCTGGGTAATGTGAGTCTGGGAGTAGCAGATGGAAAGGGTGAAGGTGTGATGCGAGTTTGAACTGCAGTCCGAAGTCGGAGAGAGGCTGAAATATTGATTGGTTGAAGTGATCAGTTATACGGGGGCTGAAGAAGGCAGAAATGTTGCTTTGGAAGCAGGAATTGGCGACAGGATAGAGAACGGACACATGGATACTAGTCAGGAGCTCAAGGCCGGAACTGGAGGCAATAATAAAGAGGCGAGAACAACACAGCATTATAAAGGCAAGTAAATTAACGAGGACTGAAAGCAAATATAAGACTAAGTAAGAATTGTTTTATAGCCCAGGCTGGAACGCACCAGGCGGGCCGGTGCGATTATGCGTTTTT